GTGGGCGGAGTAACTGTTATCATTTACATAGCACATTTAATTGCAACGTTGTTGCACAGTTACATTAAATCATACATTTATAAAAACATTAGCAGGTGTTCAAAAGGCCCTGTCTATGACATCACTTGCTGCTGCAGCTTGACACAGGTCAGAGTATTTTGGTGGTTGCCATCTTCAAACGGTTGTATCTTAAAAACTATAACTCCTACAGTGAAGAGCTTTATATTGTGAGAATCACAAGACCCAGACCTACATGTGAGATAACAATAAGTGTTCTTGCAAGAACACTTAATAATAATAATAATAATAATAATAATAATAATAATATATATGTGAGATAACATTAAGTGGTCTTGCTATGCAAGAACACTTAACTATGGGAAGGTACCAGTGAGGTAGGTGTGGCTGGATCCAGAACGACATTGGTGCACTCTCCCATTTTATCAAAACAAAGGTTATACATTTGAAATGCCAACAACATAAATGACTGGTCTTGCAATGTTTGCATATTAATCTAGGTTGAAAACATACGCAAGTCAATCAAGCTCAAGCTTTAAACACATCGAAATGTAATATAAAGTATAAGCATTTCTAAAATAAAAAAAACTCTTAGAATCTTTTTCAGCTGCTATCCACTATTAAAGGACCACTCTAGGCACCCAGACCACTTCAGCTTAATGAAGTGGTCTGGGTGCCAGGTCCTTCTAGGGTTAACCCATTTTTACATAATTAGAGCAGTTTCGGAGAAACTGCTATAATTATGAATGGGTTAAGCCTTCCCTCTAATCCTCTAGTGGCTGTCTCATTGACAGCCACTAGAGGCGCTTGCGTGATTCTCACTGTGAAAATCACAGTGAGAGCACGCCAGCATCCATAGGAAAGCATTGTAAATGCTTTCCTATGCGACGGGCTGAATGCGCGCGCAGCTCTTGCCGCGCGTGCGCATTCAGCCGGCGGGGCGGAGAGGAGGAGGAGAGCTCTCCGCCCAGCGCTGGAAAAAGGTAAGTTATTACCCCTTTCCCCCTTCCAGAGCCGGGCGGGAGGGGGTCCCTGAGGGTGGGGGCACCCTCAGGGCACTATAGTGCCAGGAAAACGAGTATGTTTTCCTGGCACTATAGTGGTCCTTTAAGTGTTACTTCCATACACCTCAAACAATTAATAAAGTGTAACATCAATATGTGCTAACATTTCACTGCAATATAATAAATATGCAAAAAAGCAGTAAAATGTTTAGATTGCCACTTTCAAAATTTTGGGCAAAGAGCAAAATAATCTGTTAAATATGAAAAATGTTTTAAATCAATCATGTTTATTTTGGCAAACTAAAACCTCTTTAATACCAAAAATGAATTCCATAGCTTGCATAGCTTTCCAGCAATATTAATTTTAAAACAATTTATCTTCAAAATGATCTGGTTTGAATTTTCAAGTAATAGTTAGAAATACAGATTTCCAAAGCTAATTTAAAAGTAATTTAAAAGTTAATGTGTCCTTAAGTGAGCACTAATGATTTCTTATATTGATGAACGATGTCCTTTAAGTCACTCTTGTAACAGAAATATATCCCCCAATTTTCTTTAACTAAATCATTGTAATAAGCACACTTATTGTGCCATATTTTTCTTTTCAAGTGATAGTTGGCATTATTAATTGTATGCTTAATACAACAGAGCAAGTCTCATTGCATTTGATGTTTGATTTAAGTTATTGAAACGTTATGAGAATACTACAGAGTATGCTGTATGTTATACACAATGTTTTTTAATTATTATTTTTTTTTTTTTGCAGTGCATAGAATTATGACAATAGGTTTCGGGTACCCCAACGGCATTCTCCTCGCTGAATATCATCACTTGGTACATTGGGGTAATCAAGAATACATGCACATTTTATAGTTATTTAAGAAAACATTAATCAAGCTTATACATAACATTGGATAGGTGAGTGGTGAGTTAGCTTAGTGTGGTTAAGTAGATTGGGAAGTTAGCGTATTTCAAACATTTAATGTAAAACCAGATTAGCTACGTTAGTGCAGTTAGGACCAAACATTAAGTTACATGCTAACTAGGTCGTTACTGTAGTCGCTTATGTGGTTGCATATCAAGCTTGTCTCGATAGGTCTAGCAGTGTATTATAGCTCAGCTTGCAGGCAGGATTATGTGAAGAACAAAACTTATAACTGGTAACTTGTAGGGGTAAGCAAATACTCATATGCCGCCATCTCTGTTAATGTCGCTTTAAATCTCTAATATGAGAGAGCTTAAACATCAGAGGGAAAATACAGGAACCAAGTAACACGCTTTTCAATTCTGGTATTAGTTGATACAGTCATATCACAGGCTTCTTTATACACATATTAATATCTATGCTGTCTAGTGACTGTATATACAGGTTAGGTGCAAGACGATCATGTAACATAAGACACTCCCTGGATTATATTAATTCTATGTCTAAACATAAGAGGATAGGTTTAAAGAGGGTTGTGTTACTGCAAACCAGTCTCTTTCAGCCCATGCCGATTCGTGGCAAAGCGGCGTCCAGGGCGATTTGGCATATGATTTCTGAGTGGCAATCTTGGGGAGAGGTCCCCCTCCAGTGACTCGAGAGCTTATTGAGTTCGAGACATTCCCATTTTGGGTGCATTGGAAGCTGTCGGTGTTCCTTCGCTGCGTGCGGCGGGCATTCTTCCTGCAGGGTGGTCAATGCTTCGGAGGCTCTCTCCTTACAACCCTCAGCCTGGGCGGGCCATGTGTGTGGGTGGTTAGCTTGGGGTATGTCGCTTTGCCCGGATTAGGGCGCCTCTTCCCCCGATTCGGCTCCAGTCTTGTGTGCTTTCGGTAGATTCTCACTCTGCTCTCCCCGGTCGGCTCACCTTGATATGGTAGGGTTTGCAGGTTTGCCTTAGGTGCTTGCATCCTTCTCCTTAACTTGCGCCAGAATTGGGCACAGGTTGCATCTAGATGCTGCTGGATGTTGCATGAACCTTCCAGCTCAGGTATGAATTTTAAGTCGCATGGTACTCCTGCTGCCGCAATTTTAGGCGCGCCATGTTCTAGGTTGCCTTGGTGTTGCCGTTCATCGGGCTGTAGGTTCTGCTCATATCTGTTACTCCAGTCGCTTGTTGTGGACCGGTCCGGGGGGGTGGGTAGGAGGTGAGAGCCCGGAGGGATCCATGTTCAGGACCATTAGCACGGGGAGCGGCCGTCTCCCCATTACACGATTCCCGTTAGGCCTCAGGATACAATGTAGGGTTCCCGGGGGGGTTATATGCTTGTTTTTGGTATCTAAGGATTCCCCTGGATGTCCCAGTCATGATAGCTCCACTCCAGTGAGCAATTGCGCTGTTTTTTTTGGGAGGAGTTACCCCCGAAATGTACTGGTGTAAGCCGGAGCTGAGGTTCAACACAACCGCTCAGCCTAAATGTTTAATTTTTAACATGCACGAGTTAAAAAGGTGAGCGAAAGGAGAAAGCCAAATAAAGGATATTCATATGCAGCCCTGGTTATGCAACACAGATCCCAAGGAATGATGACGAAAGTCAAAATAAATCATTTTGCTTGTATACAAAATGACTATTGGTGGACTATTGACACTATGTGAGTGAAGTACAAAACCATTTCCCAGATTTAATATATCCCAAATAACAACAAAATAGCACAAGTGAGATGTGTGCTTAAATAAACATAGAAACATAGAATGTGATGGCAGATAAGAACCATTCGGGCCCATCTAATCTGCCCAATTTTCTAAATACTTTCATTAGTCCCAGGCTTTATCTTATATTTAGAATAGCCGCAATACCTCTCCCTATACAACCAAGCAATCTGCTAGCATTCCCTGCTGCTCTATTACATTGTCTGCCTACCATTAAGTCATCTGAAATAATTACCCCTCAATCCCTTTGCTCAGATGTTGAGGTTACTACTCCCTTGGGTTTTTACGTCTAAGATGCATTATCTTGCACTTATCCACAGTAACCTATAGACTGTAAGCTCGTTTGAGCAGGGTCCTCTTCAACCTATTGTTCCTGTAATATTTCTTGTAATTGTCCTATTTATAGTTAAATCCCCCTTCTCAGAATATTGTAAAGTGCAATGCAATCAGTTGGCGCTATATAAATGGCAATAATAATATTAACAACAAAATTTGGTTGTGAAAACTGATTCAGATGTTCAAACATCACAAGGATTAATCCTGTGGCAACTGGCTATCACTTGTTAGTTAGCTGCTAGAGTTGAGCGGACACCTGGATGTTCGGGTCCGGCGGGTTCAGCCAAACTTTGAAAAAAAGTCCGGGTTCGGGCTCGAACTTGACCCTGAACCCCATTAAAGTCAATTGGGACCCGAACTTTTGGCCACAAAAATCCCTCTAAAAAACTCCATGAAAGAGCTAGCAAGCTGCAAAAGCAAGTAAAATTGGGGTAAGACAAGTGCCCTGCAAACAAATGTGGATAGGAAACCACTTAAAATAACATAAAAATAAAAAATACAGCTGAACCATGAAATAGCACTAGATGGAATCTTTGATTTTAGCTTTGGAAGAACATAAATCAAAATCTAAAGCATGGCTGTCAGGAGGATCACCAGAATTATCCATTTGAGAGAGGTTTGGAGTGTAGGGTATTCTCTTTCATTGTTCAAACTGAGCTCAACTCCTGATGCATGGAGAAAAGGCCTTCACAAGCCTCTGCTATTGTGTACATAGTTTAAACTAAGTTACCCATAGGTTGAGGAGGCGGTGACCGTGGCGGTGTAGGTGTAAGCAGCAGTGGAGGACGAGGTAGCCAACACTGTTTATGTTTTTTGTTTTTTTTATTGTGGTAGCCCACAAAATATTGGGACATACAAATAAAGAAACATATGCAGCCTGCAGTGCGTTTCTTGCAGTCCTGATGTATAATGAAAAGGCCTTCACAAGCCTCTGCTAATGTGTACCTAGTTTATACTAAGTGACCCATAGCTTGAGGAGGCGGTGGCCATGACAGTGGAGGAGGAGGATGAGGTAGCCAACACTGTTTATTTATATATATATATATATATATATATATATATTTTTTTTTTTTATTGGGGTAGCCCCCAAAATATTGGGGCATATAAAAAAAAAGACAACTCTGTTCTGCAGAGTAGCTGTTGACATTATAGTTGGGACCCTGAGAAAGGGCTACCACATGCAAGGAAGGCAGCAGGCGCGCAAATGACCCACTCCCGAGGCGGGAAGGTAGTGACGACAAATAACAATACAGGACTCTTTAGAGGCCCTGTAATTGTAATGAGTCCACTTGAAATCCTTTAACTCTGATCAATCGGAGGGAAGTCTGGTGCAGAGCCACTGACTTGTGCGTGCTGCAGCTAAAACTCCACTATCGCCTGCTGCTGCTCGCAAAGTCTCATGAGGCGGTGAGCGGGAAGGCCGAAGTTACGCTGAAGCGCAGACAGGCGAGCAGCAGCAGGGTGACAACGCCAAAAGCGCGCACAGCCGCTACAGTGAATGTCACATCCTGACAGTGTCTGGGTCCTGGTCACCGGACTGCCCACCTCACTGTGAAACTACGAATGGATCGTTAAATCTGGTACGAACCCTTTGCAGTTCGGGTTCGCTCAACTCTATTATGGATCCTTTGATCGCTACATGTATTACTTGGATAACTGGTAAGTCTCGAGCTAATACATGCCGATGAGCGCTAGGGGAGGGCCGCTCCGCTTTTGCACCCTGCTCCCTCTTATGCTGTGCTGGTGCCTCTTCCTCCAAACTGCACATGTCACTCACATGACCTTGATTCCATGTGAGGTCTAGGACCTCATCATCCTCCACATCATCTTCCACCCACTCCTCAACCCTGCCCTCCTTGCCGGAATGCACACTGCAGAAAGCCACAGCAGTTGGCACCTGTGTTTTACCAGCATGTAAAGTCTGCAAAGGACATATGGAAATTGTTTTAGAATTGTATCCAGGCAACAGTTTTCCCTATAAACTGACCTCTAAGTTTGACTTGTGAGGGTATTGTCCCAGAATTACAATATTGTTGAAGTACCTCTTAGCTATTGATCACTGGTTTAAATATAGCAGCTTGTTCAGGGGCGTATTAGCCGCAAGGCTAACAAGGCATTTGCCTTGGGCGGCATTTTTCAGGGGGCGGCAATAAACGCCACCCCCCAAATGCCCAGGGCAAATGTCTTGTTAGCCTCGCGGCTAACAGACATTCTGGGCGCTGGGCGGCACTGGCTGCAGCGCTGGGCGGGCGGCCGGCGAGGGAGCTCTTCCCCTGAGCGCTCTGCTCAGCTCCCTCGCGCGCCGCCAGCAGAGTGAGGCTGGGTGCCGGAAGATGACGTCATATTTCGGCTCCCAGCCTCACTCTGCAGCCACTGGACCCCAGGGAGAGGAAGAACCCCCCCCAGCATTACCAAAGGTAAGGAGGCTGGGGGGGGTTAAATAAAAAAAAAAACACTAGTGAGTGTGTGTATGTCTGCTAGTGTGTGTGTGTGGATGTCTGTTAGTGTGTATGTTAGTGTGTGTATGTATGTTAGTGTGTGTGTATGTTAGTGTTAGTGTGTGGATGTCTGTTAGTGTGTGGATGTCTGTTAGTGTGTGGATGTCTGTTAGTGTGTGGATGTCTGTTAGTGTGTGTCTGTTAGTGTGTATGTTAATGTTAGTGTATGTATGTTAGTGTGTGTGTGTGTCTGTTAGTGTGGATGTCTGTTAGTGTGGGTGTCTGTTAGTGTGTGTGTCTGTTAGTGTGTGTGTCTGTTAGTGTGTGTGTCTGTTAGTGTGTGTATGTTAGTGTGTATGTTAGTGTTAGTGTGTATGTTAGTGTTAGTGTGTGTATGTTAGTGTTAGTGTGTATGTTTCTGTTAGTGTGGATGTCTGTTAGTGTGGATGTCTGTTAGTGTGTGTGTTTGCCTGTTAGTGTGTGTGTGTGCTTGCCTGTGAGTGTGTGTGTCTGTTAGTGAGTGTGTGAGTGTGTGTCTGTTAGTGACTGTGTGTTTCTGTTAGCTAGTGAATGCGTATCTGTCAGTGAATGTGTGTGTATTTAGAAGGCGGAGCAGGGGGGAAGGTTGGGTGGGGGTGGCGCGGGGGGGTGCCTGAGTTTTGTCCTGCCTAGGGCAGCACAAAACCAGGATACAACTTCACTGGGCGCTGGGCTATGGTACATACTGTGTTAGATACAGTCACTGTTAGTATAAGCACAGCCTCCTATTCTGTAATATTGTCTCTGGGCGCTGGGCTATGGTACATACTGTGTAATGTACAGTCACTGTTAGTATAAGCACAGCCTCCTATTCTGTAATATTGTCTCTGGGCGCTGGGCTATGGTACATACTGTGTTCGATACAGTCACTGTTAGTATAAGCACAGCCTCCTATTCTGTAATATTGTCTCTGGGCGCTGGGCTATGGTACATACTGTGTTAGATACAGTCACTGTTAGTATAAGCTCAGTCTCCTATTCTGTAATATTGTCTCTCGGCGCTGGGCTATGGTACATACTGTGTTAGATACAGTCACTGTTGGTATAAGCACAGTCTCCTATTCTGTAATATTGTCTCTGGGCGCTGAGCTATGGTACATACTGTGTTCGATACAGTCACTGTTAGTATAAGCACAGCCTCCTATTCTGTAATATTGTCTCTGGGCGCTGAGCTATGGTACATACTGTGTAATGTACAGTCACTGTTAGTATAAGCACAGCCTCCTATTCTGTAATATTGTCTCTGGGCGCTGGGCTATGGTACATACTGTGTTAGATACAGTCACTGTTCGTATAAGCACAGCCTCCTATTCTGTAATATTGTCTCTGGGCGCTGAGCTATGGTACATACTGTGTTAGGTACAGTCACTGTTAGTATAAGCACAGCCTCCTATACTGTAATATTGTCTCTGGGCGCTGGGCTATGGTACATACTGTGTAATGTACAGTCACTGTTAGTATAAGCACAGCCTCCTATTCTGTAATATTGTCTCTGGGCGCTGGGCTATGGTACATACTGTGTTAGATACAGTCACTGTTAGTATAAGCACAGCCTCCTATTCTGTAACATTGTCTCTGGGCGCTGGGCTATGGTACATGCTGTGTTAGATACAGTCACTGTTAGTATAAGCACAGCCTCCTATTCTGTAATATTGTCTCTGGGCGCTGGGCTATGGTACATACTGTGTTCGATACAGTCACTGTTAGTATAAGCACAGCCTCCTATTCTGTAATATTGTCTCTGGGCGCTGGGCTATGGTACATACTGTGTTAGATACAGTCACTGTTAGTATAAGCACAGCCTCCTATTCTGTAATATTGTCTCTGGGCGCTGAGCTATAGTACAGGGCGCATACTGTGTAATGTACAACGACTAAAAGCATGTCGGCAATTATTAAACAGTTGAGCACAGTTCATTTTCCCAATTTGAGATTATGGTTCGTATCCCAGATATGAGCACGTCCATTCTTAGACTGCTTGTTTGATATAAATAGATATGGCAGACTCCACGTTAGGCAAGCTGCCGCGTTGAACAGGCTGCCTCACAGCGCTGGCTTCACACCAATGCACTAGCTCTTGACAGTAACTATTTTGGTATATTACAATTGGGGATGAGTGCATAGTGTATCCTTGCACCATATCGTTAGCTTCCCGTTTGATGTATATATCCAATCTGGGGTCTGCTGCTATTATCACTCTGTATATATATTTATGACTCACCTACGTACACATCTTATACCCCCAGATGGTGTTCTACTCTATTTCTACCTGGACAATACCTAATAGTATATCTATCTGCTAGTATCCAGTATAGTATAATACTCAAAAGAGGAGCACAACCAACTAAAACTGCAAACTGCACAGAACATAGCTCCCTTGCCGCCAGTGGTGTATTTTGGATTTGTGCTGCCCTAGGCACAACTAAATTCGGGCACCCCCAAAATCTAAATTTGCACCTCCAATTCGTGTCAAGGCCACTTTTTTGACTGACAGGCACATGCCCTTATTGATACTTGCACTGATATACACTCACTGACAGATACACAGTCATTGGCACACACATACAGTCATTGGCACACACTGTTTAACCAACACACACTTTCACTGACAGACACACACTCTCAGTTACACATAAAATGACATACACACACTGACATACACTCACAGGCACACCCATTCTCACTGAAAGACACACACTTGTCTTTCACTCACTCACAGACACACACTGACAGCTACACTCACTCACCCACTCCCTCACTCACAGTAAGGTGAACAGCCCCAGAACACAAGGCATTTGTCTGGGAGCTTGGGGTGGCATTTTTTTGCGCCCTTCCCCAAGTGCCGCCCTAGGCAAATGCCTTGTTTGCCTTGTGGTAAATACATCCCTGCTTGCCGCGTCTGATTAGGACAGCCGCCTGCCTCACTGCAGCCCCACTGGACCCCAGGGGCCCATCCATGCCAGCTTTCCCAAAAGGTGGGAAATGTTAATTCTAATAATATTAATAATTTGTATATATGTATGTGTGTGTGTGTGTGTGTGTGTGTGTGTATGTATGTCTGTTAGTATATGTGTGTCTGCTAGTATATGTGTGTGTTTGTGTGTTTGAGTGTAGGTATGTCTGTTGGGGTATGTATGTGTGTGTATGAGTCTATGTGCTTCTGCTAGTGTATGCATGTGTATGTTTGTGTGTATGTTCTTCTGTTAGTGTATGCATGTGTATGTTTGTGAGTGTCGGTCAAATCAGTGAGAGTCTGTTTGTCATTTAGTGTGTGTGTGACTATTAGTGTGTGTCTGTCAGTGTGTGTCTCTCTGTCAATGAATGAGTGTGTGTCAAATCTGTGACGTCTGTGTGTTTGTCATTGAGTGTGTGTGTTACTGTCAGTGTGTATCTGCCAGTGTGTGTCAGTGAATGCATGTGTGTCTGTCAGAGAGTATGCTTAAAAGGACACTGTAGGCACCCAGACAACTTCAGTTCATTGAAGTGGTCTGGGTGCAGTGTCCCAGTCGCCTTAAACCTGCAAGTGTAATTATTGCAGTTTCTCAGAAACTGCAATAATTACCTTGAGGGGTAATTCCACCTCTAGAGGAATTACCACCACTTTAGGGAATTATAGTGCCAGATTACAGTGCCAGAAAAACAGCGAAAAGGTGGAGTCTGAAGAGGAAGGTGTGGGTTCTTAATCAAGAAGAGGCGCACCCTTGACAGGAAGGGATGGTAAATTTAGATTAGGGGGGTGCTCAGGTTTAGTCATGTC